CACCACAAACAAACTCAAATTTGAGGCTTTTTAAATGAGGGGTAACTCTTATGTCAAACTCAATGAACTGTAAATTTATATACATTCTTGCTGGGGAATGTATAAGAAATTAATAAGAAATTCATTAGAAATTAACTTTTTTCTTTCAAAGAGGGGAAGGAACCATGCAGCCCTACAGATACTGTTAGACTGTAAGTCCCAGAAGCCCTAGCCAGCATTGCCAAGAGTAAGGAATGTTGCAACCTGCACCCCAACAATATCTGGAGGAGTCTGTGATTTCTACCCTTATTCTAAAATCAGCAATATGATGAGCATATATAGACAGTTTGGCAACACAATGAACATACAACATGTAAGATATATGCTCTGAGGTTGCACTTACCTGTCTCTTTCTGCTCACCCAACTTGTCTAAAATGTTGAAGGAAATATCAAGGTATTCTCTCTGGATGGCACTCACTGCAATCTTTCTTTGCTTCCTCTGCCGAGGAACAATTTGGATCTTAAATTCTGACTCTTCCACTTCCTCCTCCTGTTTTTGTTCTGTGCTTTGTTCTGTGTCAGATTCTGCACTAGCATCAGGCTTATCATTTTCAGTTTGGTTCTCAGAGTCTTCAGGGACTTTAATGAAGACTGTTTTCCCACTTGAACTGGGATAGGGTCCTAGAGGCTTAATTTCTTCTATACATAAATCTGAATTTTCATCCATGGACATTTCTGGAAGAGCAAATGACTTCTGCAACAGATCTCGCTTCTGTTTTAGTGTCAGGGGGCTGCCAGAAGATGCCTCTTTAGGACCTCCTGGCTTAGCTAGTTCATCAACATCTTTTTGACCTTTGAGAGTAGCTGGGGGAGTCTCCTCTTGGGAAAGTAAGACAATATCGCTTGCTTCAGAAGGGGTTACATCTTTGGAACAATCTTCAGTGCTGAACCGTACAAGGGGGATTATGCTGAGGCTGAGCACAGAGATACTAGTGGGACTGGATGGAAATGAAGCAGCAGTCTTGATGGAGACACCATCATTCAACTGGACTGTAATGTCATTTTCTTCCTCATCACTTTCCACTATTCGGAGAGGAGGAAGCGGCTCAAAGACCAATGAGTCACTATCAGAATTGGAAACAACTGATTGCTTTTCAGGTCCAGATGTTGAATCAGAAGACAGGTCTATAAGATCTAAGTCCTCTTTGGGAGGAGAAGATTTCACTGGGGAGTCCACTTTTAGTTCATATGGCTCCATGCAATTTAACCTGACTTCAGGTATGATAGGTCTCCGCCTCATTTGGTTTTTTTCTGGGAGGGTTGCGGGATTTGCCTTCTCTCCTTCATCTTCCATCTTGATGGAGGAATTCTGCAGAGGTCGTCCATAATCGTTCTGCCTTAGTGCGGTGTAAGCAGAAGCAGTAGGTGGCTTCTCTAAGTCACAACGTTCTATGCACGACTTGCGGCGGTGTTCATCTAACGTAAACAACAGGGAGTCAGCATTTCCAATGTCAAGAGACTTTTGCTTGAGAGAACGCAATTTCTTCTTCTGAAAGCTTTCTTCTCTCACACAGCGCAAAATATTGTCTTGCAAAGCACCAGTTTCCCTGTATTCAGCCAATTCTATTTCACCTGGTCAAAGCAGGGGGGGAAAAGCTAAATTACTAATTTATTCACTAGCTATTTCTCTGCCTCTCTTTCATTTTCACCATTTAGTCCTACTGGCATTTTAGAACAAAACTTAGTTTGGGTATTTTTTCATAATTACATAGAAAGAATGTGAGTCATTCTACATGACACAGTACTAACTCAAGATTGTCTCAAAATAAGATTTTCTAGAGCTGATCTGATGACATGTGAATGGAGGAGGAGGAGGAGGAGCATGAGGGGATTGTGGGGAGGCTGACCGGGTGTCCCCCCCCTCCTGCGGTGTCACCCAGTGCAATCCACATCCCCCCACACTCCCAATGTCACCTCTGAACCCGATTCAGACACTACATAAAGGAGGAAAGGAAGAAAGGAGGGTAAATAGATTGATTTCAGGTTTACCCATTGGTTCAAGGGACTCAGGGATAACTGTCTGCACCTTAGACGTTCTCTCTTCTTGTTTTTGACCGTTGTTTTTTAAAAAAACAAAAATGAAACATAAATATGCCCCCCAAATATCATAAAGCCAAAGAAATTGAAATTGTATTTGTATCTTTAGCACAGCCATTCCATTATGAAGAGCCACTCACAACCACCTTATTATAGAAATACCAAAATATTAATGTTGGAGAGCCTTTGGAAAGGCTCAAAGAAATGGTTATGTTTAGATGAGAATATTAACACAGCATGAAAGTTCAGTCTTCAAACAACTAAAGAACTGCCACATTAAGGAGGGCACATATATGTTTTCCAGTTCCCCAAAGGATGAGACTAGACCTACTGGTTTTAAGTTACAGGACAGTTCACACTAATAGAATATTGGGAGAAATATCTAAGGTTGCATGATATACCCTAATAATCACATTCCTTTTCAGTAGTGAGTATGTTATATACAGTGAAGTGACTGACTTACATGTCTCCTGAGCTAAATGATTCAAAATAGGTGGAGAGAGAAAAAGGAAAATACCTAGCATAAAAGACATTCAAAAGGCATTAAAATGTATCTAAATTTAAAACGATGTCATACTTTTCTGAGCATTCATTTCAACAGGCTGGTATTTCACCACTTTGCTGCCTCCAATTCTTTTCAGCCTTGCAAAGAAAGTCTGAGATTCTTTATTGCCTGTCCCAGTGGGTGTTTCATGAATGTCGGATTCATCAAAGACGCTGTCTTCCTCTGCTTAAAAGGGAAAAAATCAGTATTATTCTGATGCAAAATGAAACGTATCACACAAGAAGCAGCTTGTTATCAAATATTGTCACCATGTCTATATACTGATTTTCAAATTTTGAAAAGGTTGAATATTTTCAAACAGAATATATGAGAACTGTATCCCAGCAGTATTATACAAAACACACAACATACCTCCCATATGGTAAAGAATATGCAAATGGTACTTTTGGTGAGCTGAGAATTAATCCTTGGAAGAAGAGACATTTAGCTTCTTGAGCAGTATGGAAAAAAGAAATCCCTTGTAGTATTTCAAATATGTGAACATAGTTGGGAGACCTATTGTTTGACTGCAATTCCCATGAGACCTAGCCAATACATAGTTCAAAAAAGTAACTTTTACTGTCTCTGGTTTCACAGAGGCTTTTTATCAGACTGCTGAAAATCTACAGCAAATGATATGGTGGCTCCATTGATGAATTTATTTCAGAAATTATATAAAACCTGATTCCAAAAGAGTTTGCTATATATAAATGCAGCTGGCCACATCAATACTTTTCTTCTTCACTTTTTCAAACCAGCAATTGCAAAGCAAGTGTGCAGCAAAGCAGAAAAGGTAGTGATGTGGGGAAATTACATCTGAGGCCCCTAAAAATGAAATACATCTATCTATTTTTACTCTTTTTTCCTATTTTCCTCCCAGGATAGCCTTTCAGGCAAGTCTTCTTTAGATTTTATTAAAAGTGACACTAGATCAGTTGACAATATCAAGTCTAATATTAGGCAAAAGGGAACTCTCTATTTTCTAAAACTTTTCAGAAAGAAACTAAACTAAAGACTTAGGGGGGATGCATACGGGTGGCCGTGGGCCACCCTGGGAAGCGGAGGATTAGGGCCGAGGCTGCCCCACACCTCAGCCCCAATCCTCCCTTCTGTTGGCCCTGGAAGGAATGCTAAAATGCCGGTCCTTCCAGAGCCGGCAGAAGGGGCGCATCAAGAGCTGCCACGCGGCTCTTCTGAGCTTCTTCCGGCACAGCCCGTGACGACGCTGCACCAGGAGGACATATTTGGGGCGTACCCTTTCATGCCTCCAAGACGGCATTTGCGCCGTCTGCAGAGGCCCTTACTTACTTATGATTGCTCAGTAACAGTCAGCTTCTCTCAATGATTATGCTGCAGTTTGCAAAATAAATTGTGAACCGGTAATTTGATGCACCTTGATACTCTGAATGCTAAGATTTCAAATACATTGTTTATCTTATTTGACATTTAAAAATCTATGAAATCTTCTTTCAATCAAAAATCTTAGGAATGTGTAAACATTTTATCTGTAAGTTTGGAAAATAGGCCTTCCCTTTTTTATACAAGGCATGAATTGCTGGAACTTAATTTTGTTGTCCAACAGGGCATGGTATCATTTGTCAGATATTGTTGGATTGTGACTCTCACTAGCCGTAAGGAGCATAGCCATTGAGGAGGGATGCTGGAAGGTACAGTCCAACAATATCTGGAAGGCCACCCCTGTTATGCAAGGTCCCTTCCTTCCCTCCTTCCTTCCTTCCTCTTACATCTTCATACAGTCTTTTCCCAGCGTGAAAAAGACATTAAAAAAGAAACAAGTAATACATGAAATTGCTGGACAACATACTTAAAAAATAAAGAATTGCTTATGTTCATATGATTCTTCACACACTTTCAGGGATTTCAATGAATCTGTGTAAAGCAAAGTGGGACTGCAACATCAGGCTCTATCCATCCCCTATTTCCATATC